TATATATATATTATATATTATATATTATATATTATATATTATATATTGTATATTATATTATATATTATGTATAACACAGTGTATACACAGAATACGCTCAACAGCAACAGTTGCATTAACACGTCATATCGCTGTCCGTGTGTGTAATTGAATGTCTTGTTATTTGTATTGTTGCTGCTACTGTTGCTTTTGTTATTGTTGTTGCTGCAGCTACAAGGATTCTAACGGCGCTGACTTCGTTGTTCCTTTCCCTGGGGATTGGATTATAACATCTAATGGCATGCTGCAGGAGCAGCCGTTGTTTGCAATAGAGCAGCAACAGCAGCAGATGCTGCTGCAGCAGCAGATGCAGATGCAACTGGAGATGCACCCCCCACTCCTGCTGCAGCAGCAACAGCAGCAGCAGCAGCTACAGAACAGGCAGCAACACGAAATGCTTAGATTGCAAATACAGCAGGTTGTTGAGGGCCTCTTGGGCTGGGGACCAGAGGCAGAAGAGCTGCTGCAGAAGCTGCTACCGCAACGGCGACGCAGTCAGCAGCAGCTGCAACAGCAGCATCGCCTGCACAAGCAGATACTGCTCCAGCAGCTGCACGAGGTGCAGGAGTTGCAGAGGCAACAAGAACGCCAACACCAAGAAGAACTGCAACAACTGCAGCAACTGCAGCAACAAGAACAACAGTGGCAACAACAAGAAAACCACCAGCAGCAGCAGGAGCAAGACCACCTGCAGCAGCAACGAGAACAAGATCAGCAGGTGCTTCTAGGACACCAACAGCAGCAGCTACAAGAGCACCTGCAGCAGCAACAACAAGAATACCAGCAGCAGCTGCAGGAACAGCTGCAGCAGCAACAACAAGAATACCATCAGCAGCTACAGGAGCGCCTGCAGCAACATCAACAAGAGTATCAGCAGCAGCTACAAGAACATCTACAGCAGCATCAACATGAATACCATCAGCAGCAGCAACACTACCAGCGGCACCTACATGACCACCACCTGCAGCAGATACGAGAACAGCAGCGGTTACAAGCACACCAGCAGCAGCACCTACAAGAATACCAGCAGCAACATCATGAATACCTGCAACAGCAACGACAAGCACACCACCAACAGCAGCTACATGAACACCACTTGCAGCAGCAGCAAGTGCACCAGCAGCACCAGCTACACGAAAACCAGCAGCACCATCAAGTGCACCAGCAACGGCAGCTACACGAACATCAGCAGCAGCAGCAGATTCACCAGCAACAGCAACTACGTGAGCACCAGCAGCACCATCAAGTGCACCAGCAACAGCAGCTACACGAACACCAGCAGCAGCAGCAAATGCCCCAGCAACAGCAACTACGTGAGCACCAGCAGCACCATCAAGTGCACCAGCAACAGCAGCTACACGAACACCAGCAGCGGCAGCAAGTGCACCAGCAACAGCAGCTATACGAACACCAGCAGCAGGAGCTACACGAACACCACCACCAGCAACAAGTGCACCAGCAACAGCAACTACAGGGATACCAGCAGCAACAACTACAAGAATACCAGCAACAGCAACAAGTACGCCGGCAACAGCAACCAGTGCATCAGCAACAGCAACCAGTGCATCAGCAACAGCAACCAGTGCACCAGCAACAGCAACTACAAGATCGCCAGCAGCAACATCAAGAAGAACAGCAGCAGTTGCTGCTGCTGCAAGAAGAACAACCGCAGCAGCAGCAGCAAGCACAGCAGCAGCAACAACAGCAAGAAAACGAGGAGCAGCAGCAAGAAGAACAGCAGCAGCAACAGCAGCAGCAATTCCAAAGCCCGAAACAGCAGAATCATCCAGTTCAGCACTTCCAACAGCAACGCCCAGGGCGGAGGCAGCGAAAAAACCAGAGGAAGCACCAACAGCAGCAGCAACAGCAGCAGCGTCACCAGCAGCAGGCCCGACAGCAGCGACAACCACAACAACAGCAGCATCAGCAACCGCAGCAACAGGACGAGAACCAGCAGCAAATGCAGCAGCAGAGGCAGCAGCACCAGCAAAAGCTTTCTTCTCGTGAGTTGTGTGTACCTCATAATGGGCTTAACCCACAGCATGGCTGCTGAGGAGTTGCTGTTTATGTTGTTGCTGTCGCTGTTGTTGCGTTTGCTGCTGCAGCACCGACAAAAACACCCACAGTCGACACAGAGCTGCAGAGCGGCAGCAACGGAGACAAGCAGATGGCCGCAGCGCGGGATAAGCAGCACAAGTAGTTGCAGCAGCAAGAGCTCCATCTGCAGGGAGGCAAGTGCCACAGACATAAGGCAGCTGCTGCAACAGCAGCAGCAGCAATATTTAGGCAAGTAGCAGCAGCTGCTGCAGCAGCAGTAGGGGGGCTGCCTATCAGCTCTCTATTTTATTTATTTTGGTCATATTTTTCTTTAGCAGCTGCAGCAGCAACAGCAGGAGCAAAACTGCAGTAAGAAACGCAGGAGCAATAACGGCGGCATGTACAACAACCGCCCCTACAAAATGTAGAAATGTCTGCAGAAGCAGCAGCAATTGCAGCATCAGCTGCAGCAGCATCAAGTGCAGCAGCAGCAGCAAATGCCCGTTATTTTGCGCAATATTTTTTTGCGATTTTATCCTTAATTTTAGGACATTTTAAAATCAATTTTAGCTGCATATACACCCTAGATTTATGCGTGTATATATATAACTATCAGGGTTTAGGGTTTTGCGTTTGGCTAGCAGAGCACTAGGCTCGCTGCAGGCTGCTGCAGATGCTGCAGCAGCAGCAGCAGCAACTGATACTGTACATTGTGCTACTGTTTGTGTGGAGAAATTTATCGGCAGCCTGTGCTGCTGGCGCTGCTGCTGTTGGCCTAGTTGCTGCTGCTGTTGCTGCTACTGCTGCTGCTGTGACAGACGAATAGGACGCCTCATGTCTTTAGGTTAACAGCAGAAGCACCATCAGAAGCAGCAGCATGAAGAGGATATCTAACAGGGCTTTCTCCCTCGCTCTTTGCACCGCACTTCGAGCTTAGGGTTTAGGGTTTAAGGATTAGAGTTTAGGGTTTCGGGTTTAAATCGGAACTCTCGGAGGCATCAAACCCTTGCAACAGCAAAATGCACTGCCACGCACAAAACAGGGCATACAAAACCGAAACAGCTGCTGCTGCTGTTGCTGATGCAGCAGCTGTTCCTGGTGCAGCAGCGGCTGCTGTTCCTGCTGCAGCAACAGGAACTGTTGCAGCTCCTTGGTTTATTGCATTAGCGTCTGCTTGCGCAGTTTGGCAGCTAAGGCAGCAAGGCTCCTCTCTTGCTGCTGCTGCTGCTGTAGCTGCTGCTGCTGCTGCAATAGGTGCTGCTGTTGTAGCTGCTGCAGGCCAGATATAGGCGGAGATAAAAACTCCTGTGCAGATGCATTCATATATGTCCACATGCTGCTGCTGCTGCTGTTACAGTCACTCCCTCGTGCACAGACATACTGCTGGCGAGTTTGCTGCTGCAGTTGCTGCAACTGTTGCTGCAGCTGTTGTTGCAACTGTTGCTGCAACTGCTCCTGCAACTGCTGCTGCATCAATTGTTGTTGCTGCTGCTGAAGCACCAGCTGAGGATCGGCTAAGTCTTTCGACGGAGGGGAAGGCGTTTGCTGCTGCTGCTGCTGCAGCGAATCAGTGGGGCCCCACATCTGCTGCCTCAGCGACATAGGATAGAAGGGAGCTGCTGCTGGATTTAAAGCGGAGGTAGTAGCAGAAGCAGCAGCACGCGGAGCCCTAAGCAGCTCTCGCGAAGGCCACTGACCCAACTGCTGCTGCTGCTGCAGCAGCTGCTGCTGCGGAAGAACTCCCGATGGGTGTCGTCCCCACGAGTGCTGCTCGTGGCCTGTGGGGGCTTCTGCTGGTATTGCAGCTTCTGGTGTCTTTGCCGTTGCTGTTGACCGAAGTGCAGCAGCAGCTGCTGCTGCTGCTGCCGCTGCTGCTGCTGCTGCTGCTGCTTCTTTCCGAACTAGCCCAGGAGGTCTAGAGGTAGCAGTCCTCCACAGCGGTTCCCCTGCTTGCTGCGCATATGCCATCGTCAACTGCTGTTGCTGATGCTGCAGTTGCTGCTGGTGTTCGGGTGTATGGTGTTGCTGCTCTTGTTTCTGTTGCTGCTGCTGCAGTTGATCCATCGTTCTCTGCTGCTCTTGCATGTACTTCTGCTGGTGCTGCCGCAGCATCATGACCGCCAGCCTCTTAGCTTGCTGCTGGATGCTGTGCTGCTGTTGCTGCTGTTGCTGCTGTTGCAAAGGAGCGGGGTGGGGTGCCGCCCCCCTTTGGGGCAGCAGCTGTAGCTGCAGCTGCTGCAACAGCTGCGCCTGCAACTCGAGTTGCAGCTGCTGCTGCTGCTTCAGTTGTTGAATATCTTGAGGTTGCTGCGGCTGCTGAAGGTGCTGCTGTTGCTGGTGCTGGTGCTGCGATGTCAATGCCTGCGTTTCCAGCTGCAGTTGCTGCTTATCTATGGCAGCTTCCGTTGATGGTGCTGCTGCTGCTTCATCTGTTGCTGCAGCACTGGAGGAGGCCCAGGCGGGTATCGACAAGTCTACACAAGAAGACGGAGACACCCGAAGAGACAAAAAACTGTTGCTGTTGCTGCTACTGCTGCTGCTGAAAATGCAGTTGCTGCTGCTGTTTTGGGGCACCGATTTCTCAGGTGTTGTCAGCACAGACGCTATGCTGACATCTTGCTGCTGCTGCAGTAGCAGCTGTTGCTGCTGTTGCTCTGGGCTAAAAAGCAGCTTGCTGAGCTTCTGGTGTTCTTGAAGGGCCAGGAAAAGGGGCTGTTGCAGCTGCTGCTGCAGTTGCTGCTGCAGCAGTTGTTGCTGCAGCAACTGCTGCTGTTGCAGCTGCTGCTGTTGCAGCTCCTGGAGCTGCTGCAGCTGCTGTTGTTGCACCTGCTGCTGTTGCCGAACCTGCTGCTGCTGTTGCTGCTGCTGCTGTTGCTGCGCAGCAGCTGCTGCTGCTGTTTCTGCATCTGTATGTGCTGCTGTCTTTGCAACTCCCCGTCGAGCCCTTCTGCGTCTCCTGGAGCTGCGCGAAGCTGTTGCTGTACCGGTAGGCATCTCTGTTGTTATTGCTGCTGCTGGTGTTGCTGCTGTTATTGCTGCTGTTGAACCTGCAGTTGCTGCTGCAGCTGGCATTGGTGCTGTTGCGGGTACTGCTTCGGCTGGTAGTGCTGTTTCAGCTGCAACGTCCGCTGCCGCTGCAACTGCTGCCACAGGTACTGCAATTGCTGGTGCTGTTTCAGGTGCTGCTTCTGTTGTTGTTGCTTCTGCTGCTGCTGTTGCCGGCTGGGAGTCTCTCCTTAGCAGCACAGTGTTGTCACTACCTCTAGGGGATAGCGCAGGTCTAGCCCGAAGTTCTTCAACACCATGCGCAAACCTGCAGAAGCAGCAGCGGCAGCAGTGTCGCTGGATTTTTGTTCTGACGTTTCTTCTTATATTTCGCTCGTAACGCTTGCCTCTTTTCACTGTCGTTTGTTGCAGCAGCAGCAGCACGAGCGCTTAGGGCATATATATACCTAATTTACAAAAATATGCAGCATAACAAACAAACAATACCCTTTAATGCCCTTACCTGCATTTATGTTGATTAAGACAAAGAGAAGGATGCTTAGCCCAAAAAGAACAAATAGCAGTTTTTAAAGTTTGACTTTCTTTAATAATTTTTAATTCTTCCGCTGCATGCGCAAATGCGCAATAATTTCTTAAGCAGCCTAATCCTTGCATTAATAGAGGGCACCACTTAGTACGCCATAAAGAGGGAACGCTACGCAGCTCGTCCTATGAATATACACATAATTTACTGATTAATTTAATTATATTAATTTATTTAATTGATGTTTATTTTATTTTATTCATTAGGTTAATTGAATGAGGAAGCGGGAGGGAGAGGGCGAGGGCGATGGAATTATCCTATAGCTAGTAATCATCGTAATGCTAAAGCAACAATACTTGTAGCAGCAACAACAGAAACAACAGAATCAGCAACGGCAGCAGCAGCAGCAGCAGCAGCAGTAGCAGAAGGTCCCCATGAACCCCACATCAGCCCCAGATGCAACACTAAACGCATGGCTGCAACAGAACCACCAACAACAGCAACAACTGCAGGAACGATAACGACAACAACAGCAACGGAGACAGCTCCAGCGGTGAAAGCAGCAACAATATTAGGCACAGAGGGCCTAAGACAGATTGCTGCACAAAGACAGAGAGACATATACACATAGAAAAAGAAGCAAGCACAGACATAAAAAAGAAGCAAGCACTGCTTGCATGGATACTTGCGTATATATAATTCATGCAACGCCTGCATGCACGCATGCATGCATACATGGCATACATGCAGGGTTTGCATGCACGGCATACATGCAGGGCTTGCACGCATGTATGCGCTGCATGTATGTAGCGCATACATGTGCTGCAGGCATATATGAATATATGGAGTGTGCAGGAAGTGATGATATGACCTGTGAATGAGCGAATCCGCAGTCTAATCCCTTAGAACATCGTCCTTGTTTTCCTCCTTTAAGGAAAGGGCAGAGTTGTGTTCTATAGAACTTGGTAGTCCTCAAATCTGTCTCATGTACTGATCTTCCTGCCGCAGCAAGTTGCTGCAGACGACGAGAAGGAGGCAGCAAATGCAAAGAGGGGGCAACGCCCCTATGGGCCTGCTGCTGCTGCTGCTGCCGCATCAATATACAATGGATGAGCCAATGTAGCAGCTGCAGATATGGTTAACAGCGCAGGAGCAGCAACAGCAGGAGCAAGCTGATGCTTTTCTATATATGTAATATATGTTATCATATAGGGAGGGAAGGAGGCGGAAGAAAGGGGAAGAACGAAGACGAATGGGGAGAACACAGGCGCGACGGGCGCCACACACCGTTGTTTTTGTAGGAAATAAGCAGTAAATACTTTTTTAATTCTTTTCTAAAATATGAAATACGCAAAGAAAGCAAATTGCACAAAATCTAACTCCTTTTTTGCCCATAATACCACCCGAGGCAGCGAGCACAAACAGCAGTAGCAGCAGCACAAGCAGCAAAGGCAGCAATTGAGACCCCAAGATCGTTTTCTTGCGCTGAACAAATCAGATTTCAATCAAATATTTAAATTTATTTACATATGTTTACTTGCATTTCAACACTAAAACACAAAAATAAGGCATTTTACAGTAAAAACGACCCACCACCGGCCCATTCTCTCTACACACAGCATCAGTCACCTTGGCGGCGGCGCGCAGCCGCCGCGGTGGCGGCTGGGCCGTATACGGCCATTATAAAGGCGTTATTTAACTGAAATAACCTAAATTGTGTGTTTTTTATAATTCTCCCATATATTTAAATACCATCAGTTGCCTTTTTTCCTGCTGTTTACCCCATTTGATTATTCAGACGGGTTCGTTATACCCTCCCTGCGCCTCCACCTGCGCAAGACCAGCAACGGGGTACCTTAGAAGCTCGCTGGGTTTCATGGATATTTTTTGTGCTTTTAACGCATACACATTGCAATAATAATATTAATGTAAGTTTTATTTTCTCTTTTTAGCCACAGATAAACGATCTTTGGGTGTATACACTGCCCATTAGTTGCATGCAACGAGGCCTGCGCTGCAGTGAAAGCAGGTAAATGAGAAGAAGTAAATACATTTCAATGATTAAAATATTAAATTACATCAGTATTAACAAATAATGCCTGATTCGCAAAGAGCAACAAAAATGAGGCCGATACGCCTATAATCTACCATAAACCAATAGAAATAATGCAAGCCACCCTAGCACAGATGAACAAACAGCACAAGTAGTCGAGAAAGCGAGAAGATAAACAAACGGAAAATAAAATGAAATACGTTTAAACAGGCCGAATTTATAAAAGAGGAGGGACAAAGCGTTGCCTCTACCAGAGGCGGTAGCAACAATAGAGACGACAGCAGCAGCAGCAGCAACTGGAGAAAAGTTGCAGGAACAGGGCAACAGCTGCAGCAGAAAGAGGACACAATCAGGAGGAACAGGACATAAGCAGTAGCAGAACAGCAGAAGGAATACGACAGCAGCGGCAGGAGTGCAACAGCAAGGGTTGCTGCTGCTGGTGTTCCGTGACCGCAGCAGCAGCAGCAAGACACACAGTGTGTATTACAAGTAAATGGTGTATTGAATTTAAGTATTATTGTTATTATTAACAATGCGAATATTTATAAACAATGTTAATAGTTATACAGGCGCTGCCTTAGCGCGCGCTTTAAGAGAAGGCGATGGATATCTGAATAGATTATTTGGTACAGCAGAAGGCATAGAGGTAACCCCTCAGCAGGAAGCAGAAGCTGCTGCTGCTGCTGCTGCTGCGTCAAACAACAACGAAAGCAGCAGCAGCAGCATGCAGCAGCATGTTGCAGTACCTTCTTGTATCCGTAGAGTAATATCGAAACGTAATCCGCAGCAGCTGCTGCAGAACATCTTATCTTGTAGTTTAGCTGTTTTTGATTTGCATTCTTCTTCTCCTGATGAAATAGAAATAATATTAAAAAGAATTAAAACGGCAGAAATTAAAAAGCCATTGACAATTATACTAATCTCCTCCGTTCTTACTTGGGGGGCCACGCCTAAACAGTACAGCAGCAGCGGCAGCGGCAGCAGCGGTAGTAATAGTAATAGCAGTGGTAGTAGTAGTTCGGACGGTGCAGCACAAGAAGCAGACGATGCTGCTGCTGCAGCTCAGCAGCAGCAGCAGGAAGACGGTGAGGAGTATGTCGAGGAGGAAGAAGTGGAAGCTTCCGAGGAAGAAGAAAGCAAAACTGAGAACGACAGCAGCAGCAACAGCAATAGCGCAACAACCCCAAGCAGTCCAACAAGCAGCAGCAGCAGCAGCAGCAGCACCAGTCAGCGCAGCAGCCGCACCAGCGGCAGCAGCAGCACCGGCAGGTGCCGTGTACCTTTGCCCTTTAGTCAAGATCACTATGAGTTAAGAGTCCCCCTAAGAAAATACGTAAAATGGAAGACCATAGAAACACTTCTTTTATCATTAAATTACAAAGAAAATTTAAAGGGAATAATTGTCTCTTGTGGTCTTTTATATGGTAAAGGAGAAGAAATACTTTATGATCTATTTAAAGCTGCTTGGCTAGGACTACAAACACATGTCACCATTGGTCAGCTAAAACGGCTACAAACGCTGTTTTTGCTGCTCCTAACGCTGCTGATGATAATAATGCGGTTGATGACAGTGACGCTGCTATGATGTTGCTGTTGCTAAAGGTGCTGCGTGAATAGGGCTATAAACATACTCAGCCATTGGTCGGCTGCAGCAATACCTGCTGCTGCTGCTGCTATTGCTGCTGCAAATGCTGCTGCTGCTGCTGTTGCTGATGCCGATTCTAATGATACTGCTAATGCTCAACCCTAGACCGCAAACCCTAAACCATCGGGCTGTTGTGTGTATATGCAGGTCGTGGTAGTAACTACGTGCCTTGTATTCACGTTGACGATTTATGTAATTTAGTGCGAAGTATTGGCATAGAAGGAAAAGGAGAAGAAGACGTTTATCATTTAGCAGTTGACTCGTCTTTAGTAACACAAAAAGAGATAATAGAGGCAATAGTGGAAGAATTAGGAGTATCATTTACTTTACCCGAGAGCAGTAAAGAAGCTGCCGCGCTGCTGATGCAACAGCAAGCAGATACCCTGCTGCTGCACTGCTGTTTTAAACCCTCTCCTTTAATGCTTAAACCCTCTTTTAAATGGAGAGCTAAAGAAGGATTTGTTGTGAACATCAAACAAACAGCAAAAGAATTCTGCACTGCAAGAGGACTCAAGCAAATACGCGTACTGGTTACAGGTAACACATACAGCACCAGCAGCTGTAACAGCTGCAGCAACAGCAACAGCAGCACCACCGGCAGCAATCGCAGCGGCAGTACTTTGTTTCATAAAGACCATTTCTGAAAACGACACTTCTACAGCAGAGGAACAACAACAAATTACAATTACAATGATAATCGTAGGCATGACAAATACAAAAATACTAGTATGTATTTAATTAAACAATTAATTATTATTACTTATAAATAATGCAATGAAAACTAGTTAATTAATTGATTAATTCTTGCTGCTGCTGCTGCTGCGTAGGTCCCCCTGGTAGCGGGAAGACAGTCTTAAGTCAGCTGCTTGCGGAGCACCTAAACATTTGCTGCTTGCAGCTGCAGCAGCAGCAGCAGGGCCAGCTGCAGCAATCTGGAAGCAAGAACAGAGAAGGGGATGGCTTATCATCTCCTTCAGCGTCTGATGAGCAGAAGAGGAAGGGAAAGAAAGGATCAGCAGGATCATCAACAACAGGAGCAGCAGCAGCGGCAGCAGCAGCGGCTGCAACAGGAGCACCAGCAAGTGCAGGAGGAGGATCGCGTAAAGGTCGACTTTCTCCTTCTGTTTGTTTTAAACAACTAAAAATAAATTTAAATAAAAATGTTTGTCGTTATCGAGGATTTATCCTTGATGGAGTTGTTAATAATTATGATGAATGTAAGCAACTCTTTTTGCCTCCTTTAAGGGATCCAGAAGAACCAACAGCGGAGCCAGACCCCGACGCAGCAGCAGCAGGAGATACACCAGCAGGTGCAGCGGGAGATAATGAGGAAGGAGGCGCCAAACAGTCCCCTTCTTCTGGTGCTGCTGGGGGGGCTGCTGCTGCTGCTGCTCCTTTCCTCCCTGAATTCGTAATAAACTTACATGCTGCAGCAGAAGTATGCGAAAAAAGAGTAATGCAGCTTCCTCCTGCTGCCGTTGTCCCTGGTATTAACGACAGAGAAGGATTTAAAAAAAGAATGCAGACGTATGCACACCTCAATGAAAATACTGAAGGAAAACCAAGACTCACAGACTTCTTCCAGGTACCACACCCTAAACCGTAATCCCTAAAACCCTACACCCAGGAATCTAAACCTTAAACCCTAAAATGTAAATCCTAAACCCTAACCGACAAACTATAAACCCTAAACCTTAGTGGTTGCTTGCTGGAGCTGTAGAGGGGAGCACACGAGGAGCCACAAGAGTTAACCAGCTGGCTAGCTAGCTAGCTAGCGATCTGCAGCATTTGGTGCCATTGCTTGGTGCTTGTGCATGATAATAGGAGTTAGGAATAGAAGTGTTGGAGTTACCAGCAGAAGGAGATTTACAAGAAATGTTGAGTAGTTGTTTAATATATTTGTCACGTAAGGGGAAGATAAAGAATTTTGTAGTAGATTCAGATACCTGGCTGTTGCAGCAGCAGCAGCAACAGGAGGAGCGGGAGGCTGCAGCTGCAGCAGCTGCTGCTGCAGAGCAGCAGCAGCAACAGCAGCTGCAGCAGCAGCAAATGGAGAAACAACGCGCAAGGGATCTAACGAGACTACGTCATATTGAGGCTCATGAGCAGCAGCTGCTGCTGCTGCGCAGTTTACCCCTTCGTAGATATTTAATGCATTCCGTTCTTCCTAGTCTATCTGAAGGACTATTGGAGGTTTGTAGGGTTTTACCTGAAGACCCTATTAGCTACTTGGCCGAGTTCCTATTTGCAAGGGCCAGACAACTCCAATAAACCCTTCTCTGGGGTTTAGAGTTTACGAGGGTTTAGGGTTTACGCTAGTGTAAAGTCTAGGGTTGGGGAGGATTTGGGGGTGTTGGGGGGGTTGAGGGGAGTTCAAGGGGGTCTATGAAGGTTTAGACGACTGTCTACCTTTCGGCAAGATTTCAAGTCTGCAGCAGCCCCAATGGTCTAGGGTTTAGGGTTTAGGGTTCGGCGTTTGTAGACAGGGGTGGAGCGCAACATGGAGAGGAGCCCCAGGAAAGAGTTGAGCGCAGACGCTCGACTCTTGGGCTTGGAGGGGCTCAGTTTAGGGTTTAAGGTTTACTACGTTCCTGTGGAAACCCTTAACCCTAGACAATGATACCCACTCTCGGCTTCCTGGCTATTTATACCGGAGGACGCTGCGACCTTCTCCCTCAAACATTTATCCCTTGTCATAATAAAAAACACTTAAATCCCCTCTTGCATATTTTGTATTTACTTCGGGTGTACGTGCAGCGGTTGTTGGTGTGTTGACCACCGGACTGCAGCTCTAGAAGGCAACGGCGATCCACCATTGAAATCGCAACTTTCACTCAATTAAAGAACATTTTGTAATTTATAATGTATTTTCTGTATTTTAAATATTCATTTCTTTTAAACTAATCACATAGGATGAAAGATTTCAAGAACATTTATCAGCACGGGGGGGGGCGTGCATGCATGCATGCATGCGCTGCCATGCATTCGTCATGATTTGATCTGAATAGGAAATACTTTGCATGTATTTTCATTCAATAAAGCTTTTTGTATTTTTATGTTTGTTGTATTATTTAACTTTATCCTCTCTACGTTTAAATATACATAAATTTCGTCCTTCCGCATCGCCCGGCTGTGCGGGTTAGGCAACACAGACCGTGTGTAGCAGGGGATAATTTGAATGTAAAGTTGAAATATTAAATAAATTAAATTTACATTTAACTTCGGTTTGTATTTTAAGTTAAATTAAAATGCATCAAAGGACGCAATTGCATCATTCACCCGATCTCCACGAGGAGGCGGAGTTGGCAGTACACCTGGCAATGTTGAAGGAACAAAACGAGAGAAAGAAAGCACAAATTGAAGAAGTAAAGGTATAAATAAAAGAAATAAGATTGACAAAACAAAAATACAGATGGAAAAAACCAAACAAAGAAAACTAATTCAATAGTACCTTAATAATCTAAATTGAATTGAATGGCACTCAACAACAGCAGCAGCACCCAGCAGCACAAGCTTCTTCTGCTGCTGCTGTTTCAACGGACACAGCGTATTGTCTTTCCATTACTGAGGAAAACCGATTTTGGCTGTTTGTCGATCTCCTGCAGCAGCATCAGCAGCAGTAGCAGCAGTAGCAGACCTAACATTTCTTCATTACGCCTCAGCATCTGAGGGAGAGGAGCCCCAACGAATCCTGCATCTGCTGCAGCTGCTGTAGCTCCTACGGCTTCTGGATATGTTGCAGCAGCAGCAGCAGACTTGTGTGAGTATGTGTGCTGCTGTTTGTCGTGCTGCTGCAGAAGCGAGCGCAGTTGATGACTATAGAGACATGCGTGCTGCAGCAGGCCCTGGTGAATTTGTTGCAGGAGAGGCGACCTGAAGCCTCTTCCCCTCGTCAGCAGCAACAGCAGCAGCAGTTGTTGCAGCACAAGCAACAGGGTCAAGCAGGAGCCTCCGGTGCTACTGCTACTACCCCTGCTACTGCGTCTGCTACTGCCCCTGCTACTGCTACTGCTACTGCTACTACTGCTAGTGGTGCTGCTGCTGCTGCTGCTGGTCCTGCTGCTGTTAGAACAGCAATGGCCCGCTGCTCTGTCGTAGCAACAGGAGTTTTATCGTTAGAGAAGAGGCAAGAGTTTGTTGCTGCTGCTGTAGAAAGAAATCAAAAAAATATTCAAAAAGTTCAAGCAGAGATCCAAGGAGCCAAAAAACTCCTACGAGTTCGTTCTTTATAATACTCATGCTGCTCCTGCTGTTGCTGTTGTTACGGTTGCTGCTGTTGCTGCTCGTTGTGTTGTTTGTGCTGCTGCGGTTGATTTTGCTGCTGCTAATGCAGCTGCTGCTCATCCTATGTTGCAGTAGCAAGAACTACTACCGTTGCTACTGCAGCAGCAGCAGCAGAGATAGTACCAACAGGAGTGCTCTTAGCAACACTAGTATCCGCAGGAGAAATAGGAGTGACAAGGGGTAATGCATATAGCAGAAACGACGATAGAAGCAGCAGCAAATTGCCTTCTCTTGTGTTTTGCATGCATGCTGGCTAGGGCTTTAGGAGGTTACTAAGTGCGGCGACCTTCAAGCAGCAGAAGTAAGACGGAAATAAGATCAGTGAAGTATTTATGCTTTTATTTGTTTTCAGCAGCATATTCTCTCTCTCGCTTTATCTCTCTGGCTCCGTTTGTTATCGTTTTTCTTCTTGTTTTTTCTTCAGGATTGTTGTTTGGTTTCTCTCTGTGTTTGTTTACTTGCGACGATGTCGCTTTCATGCATCTGTTTATGACTAAGGGCTTGGTTTTTAGGGTTTATGGTTTAGGGTTTAGGGTTTGGGGTGTTTCCGCAGGTGCGTCGTGACGCATTTGAATTTAGGCGTGCAGTTGTGTTAGGAGGGGAAGATGTAGAGACAGGAGGGACTAAAGGGGAGGTTTTGCTGCAGCATTTGCAACATCGCATAAAGAAGCGGCAGCAGCAGCAGCAGCTCTTGCAGCACAAAATCAGCAAGTTGAAGAAGCAGCATCGCCAGCAAATGGGCGTCTTCCGCAGCAGCAGCAGCAGCAGCAGCGCAGAAGGACTGCAGCGGATTGACTTCGATCAACTGCAAATAGAGAATGAACAATTTGCTGCTCAAGTTGAATCTTCAAAGGCAGATATCGCCAATAAAAAGAAAAAATGCTGTAAACCCTAGCCTCACCTCCTCGGTGCTGCTGCGCTTGTATGTATTTATTTTTTTCAATGTGCTTTAATTTCCTTCTTCCCTTTCAATATATTTTTAAATATACTTTATTTATTTTATTATTATTTTCTTCTGCTATTCGTTTCGTGCTGCCTTGGCAGCTGTGCTTCTGCAGGCACAGGCGGTATTAAAAGAACAGCTTAGCCGTTGCCTAGAGGAGGGTTTGGCTCTTGAAGCATCTTTAAACAGCCGAAAGGCAGCATTAGAAAAAACAAAGAGAGAAACAGAAGAAACTGCTGCAGAAAAAGAAGCCGTCAAACGCGAAACCAAACGGTCCGGGTCGACGGTTAAGAGTGTAGAGGGTTTAGGGTTTAGCGTTTTGAGGGTTTAGGGTTTATAATTGAGGGTGCTTCCCCATAGGATTTATTTCTTAGGGTTAGGGGTTAAGGGTCTAGGGTTTTGAGGGTTTAGGGTTTGGGGTTTAGTGTTTGTGTGCAGGTTGTTGGTGCAATCTCGTGGTTGCAGTCAATTGCCACAAGTAAAAGATTTAGTTTTACAAAAGTTTTTATTATTAAAACAAACCAAAAAACTAAATGCATTAAGAAGAAAATTAGAAGTTGCACAATTAGAGACTAAAACAGTTAAACAAGATCTTAAGTTTCAAGGTGTAAACCCTAAACCCCAAACCCTAAGCCCTAAATTGCAAACCCTGTACCCTAAAGCCCAAACCCTAAAGAGGGACTTTACCCATGCACCCTAGACCCTAAAGCCTACGCTGTAATGCAGGCAATGGCAACAATAAAAAGGCAAAGAAAAACTATCTACGTGCCTATTTAACACAGTATCCACTTGCTGCATGCATTTGCTGCATGCGTTTGCTGCATGCGTTTGCTGCATGCATTCGTTTTTTATGAAAGACAAAAAGGATACTCGCCGACTCCACTAGCGAAACAAGCAACAGCATCTGAAGCAGCAGTAGCAACTGAAGCAGCACCATAAACAGCAGCAACCGCAGTAGCTTTTGCTACTATGTGTTGCACTGTGACGACAACAACATGGCGACCGCCTTTTACTGCTATTGAGTAAAAAATAGAAAGAATTATGAACTGCGCATACACATGAACAAAAGATCTACTAAACAAACGCAACTAAAGAAGTAGAAGGAAGAAAACCCTAAACCCTCCATAGTTAATATAGTTTATCTGTGTTGTCACGCAAGGTTTGTTAGGGTTTAGGGTTTACTACGTACAGCTGTCTGCATAAGTAGGCAAATTGTCTCCATGAGTCAAACAATTGATGAATAAATAATATCTAATATTTATTAGTTATTTTGCTTTACCTGGACGCACGCAAGTAGCTGTGTTGGTTTGGGGCTGGAAGTCTCTGCATGCATTCATACGCATGCATGGCTACCTTCTCGCTGCTCGCGGTCTTCTTTTGCTGCTGTTGTTAATAGGAGAAATGTTACTAATTCATTTAGATTAAAGCAAATTTTAAAAGGCAACTAACAGAAGGAGGAAGTATTGAAGCTCTTACTTCTCTTGTGTGCATCGCGTTTTGCTGCTGCTGCAGCAGTTGCTGCTGCTGTATTTGTAGCTGTAGCTCTAGCAGCATCGCGAGTCGAAGGAACCATCTAGTCTCATCCTTCAGGTTGTTTTTTCTTCTTCTTTTACAAACGTAGTTTATTTAGTCAATAATTTTATAGGAAATCGCATTATTTCCCCTCTTTTGAGGGTATCGGGGGATGAAGAACCGGTGAACATGTAGCCGCGTTCTCTCCCGAACTTTTTGCGGCATTTCTTCTTGCATTGTTGTGCATGCAAGGATTTACGTTCCTCTTTTCGATTCAATGCACAGCAAGGGCCGCATTCGCAAGCCTGGGGTCCCCTCCAAGCAGGAGGGTGCCCATGGGGGGGGAGGGCCCGATGTTGGGGTGTATGTACAGCCCAAATTTGGACCTAAAATTCCCCCAAAGACCGATCAAACTCCAGAGTCTAAGGACGAATTGACACCTTATGCTTCTTCTTCTTCAGATGGTGCACCAGTAACTCCTAAAAAATCGCCCTGTCCATCATCTTCTGTATCGGCAGTTTCGGGTGTACAGGCAGCTCCCTCTCCGATTTCGGGTGTATCTGCACCTCCCGGTGACGCATGCGAGCCCGCTACTAACGAGTCTAGCAAGAAGAAGAAGGGTGTTAGTGTGAAATTTAAGGAAGATTCTTCTTTATCTTTAAATTCATCGGAAGATCCATCATATGATGCAAAGAATACGTCGTGTTCTTCGCTTAGTAAGCCGACGGAGGCCGCGTATACCCAAGGAAAGCGTGCAGATACCTTGCAGGATAAGTGGCGTCTTTTGCCTGCATTTTTTGAAAGCCGCGGTTTAGTTTCGCAGCATTTGGCGTCATATAATTATTTAATTACTCACGAGCTTCGTGCGATTGTTCGTGCTGCGGCGAATCGCTTGATTAAGTCGGATGTCGATCCTTCTTTTTTCCTTGAATTCCTTGATATTCAAGTTGGGGAAGCGCGACTAGAAGAAAGCATGCAACAGTTTAAGTTAACCCCTATGGTCTGTAGATTAAGGGAAATAAGTTATTCAGCTCCTCTTCTTGCGGAGCTAGAGTATAGCAGAGGTAACGAAATCGTACGCCGTCGCGGTGTATGCATTGGTTATATACCCGTCATGGTAAAGAGTAAAGTCTGCGCTCTTTATGGCAAGACCAATGCAGAAATTCAAAAGCTAGGTGAATGTCCTCTTGACCCTGGTGGCTACTTTATAGTCAAAGGCACGGAGAAGGTAACTGTCTGCACCTCTCCTCCCTCTCCTCCCTCCTTCCCTCTCTGCACGCGTACATGCATAAACGCATGCATAAATCCATGTATAAATGCGTGCATGCATACATTTGTTTGTTTGCTTGTTTTGGGTATTTTTGCAGGTGTTGCTGATGCAGGAGCAGCTTTCAAAGAATCGAATTATCGTGGAGGTATAATTCATTTCCTTTATTTCTACCAGTGCAGATATTTGGCATTGTTTTCTAAATATCTGCATGCATGCATTGATATACATAAATGTATATAGTATATACTGTATATATGTACATGTATGCACAGATACATATACGTAGTGAGTATATAAGAGCGTATTTCTGCCTGTCTGTGTGTTTGTTTATCTGAACATAGTATATACAGTGGATATAAAAAATAGTACATATAGTATACATTGCATATGACACATAATATACATATATACATTTTAAGTAATATATATAATATAATTGTATGTGTGCATGCAGCTGGACATGAAGAGAAACGTATGTGCAACAGTAACATCAGCAACAGCAGAAGCAAAGAGTAGAACATCTGTTGTATTAAAAGGAAGCCGTCTTTATTTACGTCATAATTCTTTCTTAGATGATATTCCTTTATGTATTGTATTAAGGGCAATGGGTGTAGAAACAGATCAAGAGATTATGCAGATGATAGGTACAACTGCACCAGCAAATACAACTGATGAAGCAGCAGAGGAGGGGAACTTTGCAGCAGCAGCAGCAGCAGGAGCAGCGATATATAGTGCTGATGGAGCGCAAGAGTGTTTATCTCTTTCTTTACAAGACTGCCACACAGAGGGTGTATTAACACAGCAACAAGCATTATTATGGTTAGGGAATCGTTTAAGACCGCGCATGCAAGCACGGGGCTTTTTATCTCCTGTAAAGGAAAGGGGATTAAAGGGAGGAAAAGGGGCAGTAGATGAAGCTGTGGATACACTGCATCGTGTAGTACTAGCTCACTTATACAGCAGCGGTAGTGATTTACGTCTAAAGGCACATTTTCTTTGTTTAATGGCGTCACGTTGTTTGCATGCAGCAAATAATCGCGATTTATTAGATGATAAAGATTATTATGGTAATAAAAGACTTGAATTAGCAGGGCAGATGTTAGGTCTTTTATTTGAAGATTTATTTAAACGTTTTTGTGCACAAGCAAAGAAACAAGCAGATTATGCGCTTACTCGTTATCATCAAACGAGAACAGCAGCAAGCAGCAGCAGAGGAGGAGGAGGGATCTCAATGGCTTACCCTGATTGCTGCAGAAATCTACCTACCGATATAATAACTAGAGGGCTACAAACAGCCCTTAGTACGGGTACTTGGTCAATAAAAAGGTTTCGTATGGAGAGATCGGGTGTATCACAAATATTATCACGTCTTTCTTATATGGCATCATTAGGCATGATGAGTAGATTAAGTTCGCAGTTTGAAAAAGGAAGAAAAGTATCAGGACCGAGATCCCTACAACCTTCCCAATGGGGTGTTATTTGTCCTTGTGACACACCTGAAGGAGAAAGCTGTGGCTTAGTTAAAAATCTTGCATTATTAACACATGTTACGACGGATGAAGCCGAGATGCCCGTTTCTCGTGCTTTGTTTGCTCTTGGTGTTGAGGAAATGGGTTGTTTTAATTCATTAGGAGGAGGAGGAGGAGGAGGATGTGCTTCTCCCTCACCATTTAATCATAATAGTAATAATAATAATGTTGTGTTTTTAGTCTTTTTAAATGGTACTTTATTAGGACTTCATAGAAGGCCGCAGCAGCTACTTACTGCTGTTCGACTACTAAGAAGAAGAGGATTCCTAGGGTCTTTTGTTTCTGTACACCTGAATGCTGCGCATAGATCAATATATGTAGCAACAGATGGGGGGAGGTTATCAAGACCTTTAATAGTGGTAGAGAAGGGGAAGCCTCTGCTGAAGCAGGAGCATCTGGAGCAGCTAAGTAGAGGGGAGATAACATTTGGTGATTTATTGCATGCAAGTGTATTAGAATGGATAGATGTTAATGAGGAAAATGATCTTTTAATTGCTTTAACAGAAGAAAGAATCGATCCTTTAAGGACCACTCATCTAGAGATAGAACCATTGGCTCTCCTCGGTGTTGTTGCTGGTCTTATTGCCTTTCCTAATCATAATCAAAGCCCAAGAAACACTTATCAATGTGCTATGGGAAAACAAGCAATGGGGGCCATTGGTTTCAATCAATTTAATCGGTGTGACACTCTTCTTTACCTTCTTGTTTACCCCCAACAACCCCTGTGCAAATCACGCACACTCGATCTCGTACACTTCGATCAGCTACCCGCAGGTACGTAAACCTAAAACCACCCTAAACTACACTCTACATCCTCAATACACTCTACCCAGCAACCCTAAACATTCAGAGTGTAGTGTGTAGTTGATGCACATGGGTGTGTTTGTTTCGTTGCTGTTGCGTGATGGTGCTTATGGTGTGTGTGTTGTGTGTTGTTTAGGGCAAAATGCCAGTGTGGCGGTTATGAGTTACAGCGGTTACGACATTGAAGACGCAATCGTATTGAATAGAGGGGCGGTAGATCGAGGGTTTGGTCGTTGCTATGCAATAAAGAAGCAGAGTATAGAGTTTAAACACTACTGCAACGGATCATCTGATCGTGCGTTTCCTCCTCCTCCCTTAACGGGTGGTGGTGGTGTAGGTGGTGGTGCAGGAGGTGGATCTGGTGGTGGATCTGTAGGAGGTGGAAGTTGCGGTGTGTCTGGAGGTGCATCTGGAGGGGACAGGAGGGGTTTACCAGGAGTACCTTCTTTTGGCAATAGGAAACGCTATGGTGCATTAGAAGAAGATGGATTAGTGGGTGTTGGGTGTCGTGTTGAGGAAGATATGTTATTAGCGAATAAATTTAGTCCTTCAAATACGAAGACGCCTGTATCTGATCCACAAAGTCAGCCATTAAGTGACTTTGTTCCTTCACCTGTCCGTTATAAGACCCCTGTGGGGGCATATGTAGAAAGACTTTTGTTAACAGAGAATGCAGAGGGGAATAGATTAGCAAAAGTTATGTTACGGCAAACAAGATTACCTGAATTAGGAGATAAATTCTCTTCTCGTCATGGGCAAAAAGGAGTTGTTGGCTTAATTGCCCCTCCTGAGGATATGCCGTTTGCAGAAGATGGATGGCAGCCGGATTTAATTATGAATCCTCATGGTTTTCCTTCTCGTATGACAGTAGGGAAGTTATTAGAGTTAATAGCGAGTAAAGCAGCTATTATTAAGGGGGAAATTCAATATGGATCTGCCTTTGCACAAGTAAAGGCAGAAGACTTGGGGAAAATACTCTTAAAGGCAGGCATGCATTACTCAGGAAAGCAGTATTTAACTTGTGGTATAACAGGCGTACCCCTTAAAGCATATGTCTTTGTGGGCCCCATTTACTACCAAAAGCTTAAACATATGGTACAAGATAAAATACACGCAAGGGGTAGGGGCCCCCGTCAGCTGCTGACACGTCAGCCAACAGAGGGGAGAGCTCGAGATGGTGGCCTCCGTCTCGGGGAGATGGAGAGGGATTGTCTTGTTGCTTACGGCGCAGCTTCTCTCTTACTAGAGAGACTTGTTATATCTAGTGATGCCTTTTCTGCTTCTGTATGCACACAATGCGGTCTTATTGGTTCTGCTGGCGGGTGCAGACTCTGCCGCAATTCTTCTTCTACTGCCACCGTTCAAATGCCTTATGCATGCAAGCTTCTCTTCCAGGAACTGATGACCATGAATGTATGCCCAAGGATCTCCCTTAAACAAGCATAATCTATATTATATTTAGGCTTGTTTAAATATATATATATATATATATATATATATA